TTATTTATTTAAAAATGTTTCAAAATTCGTCTTTATTTTTAATTTATAATCAAAGAATGGAAGAGAAAAATCCCTGGTAATTCTGAAAAATTGATATCAAGGTGAATCATGAATTGCCATCTTTACTTGATCTAGTTGGGAACAATATTTATCAGAAGTGATTGTTTGAATCTGTGAAAGTAGCTCATAGTACAGAATTCCTTTCCAGTTCTACCAGATGATGAGCATGACTACCTTTGGAGTTTTTAATGATGGTTTGTTTTTCTTGCCCCTTGATATCTTTCAGTTGATGCTATAAATGATTGTTTTCATCACATGTTATTAGATGTTTCAGAAAAGGGTAATTTTCATTTTGTTTTTGAAGAGAATTGCAAATGGAGAAGTGATCCAGTAAGTTCTTTTCCATTAAGTCATGATGCATCCAAATGTAATGATTCACATACCGAACTTCTCCAGATGTTGAAATACAGTACTGTTCAATGACTTTGCTTTATCTGCTAGCTCTCAAGTTGTGTAATGAGGGTTATCATCCAGTAATGTTTTGATCTGGTCTTCAATAAACTCCAGTTTGTCTTGATCTGTCTTCCTGAGCATAAGGAATTTTCAAGGTTGAAATTACCTGCTTTGAATGTAGTGAACCACTTTCAAGCAATTGATTCCACTAAAGCACCCTCACCATAAATATCACTTATTTCTTTTGATGTTTGTATGGCATTTTTGCCTTTTCAATAGAAGAAAAATGTTAAAACTCTAACTTGTTTGCAACAAGACAAATTAAATGTCATTACAAAAATTTGTTAAGATGATTTAAATAATAAGATTATTTTTTGTAATAGACATTTAATTTGTTTTGTAATGGGCAACATTTTTCATAATATTCATTAATATAATTCTAGTAACTTTTACTTCATTCAGTGTTTCAGCTGTCAGCTATGAAAAATGTTACAAATTTTCAACAACCCAATATATGCTTATTTTAAATTCCAATCAAAAATTAAAGTTGATTCAAAGATATTATGAGGGTAAACAAAATCATGCTCTGCCCCCCCACACACACACACTCACACACACACACACTCACACACACTCACTCACTCATCAACATATATAGAGAGGGGAAAAAAAAACCCAAATTTTTTTCATTTCTTGACATTTCAAAGTCCACAGTCCAAAAATGTAAAAATCTTGGGGATTATTTTACCAATTACCATACTTTTGCTCTGTTAAATGTAACAAAACCAGGAAAGTAATAACTATTTTATATTTGATAAATATTTTTTATTGCATAAACAGATTTAAGAATGAATTTACAAAAAATTAAATTTAATAATTTTATTTGAAATTATATTAAAAAGCTTATGGTCTTAAAATTTTGACAAAATTATAATCGTATTTATTTAAGAAATAATGTTACAATATAATAAACATCATAAAACTGTATACAGAAATTTCTAGGAATTTAATTTTGATCAAAGCAGACAACAGTTTGAAGAATATTTAGCTCTTAAAACTTTGTTAGCAAGTTACAGCTGTTTAATATCAATTTCAAATATTTCTTCTTAAAATTTCTGGCATGTTTAAATCTAAATGTGTCCAAAAACAAATAAATCAAAAATACGTTGAATACATTACATTGTTTAGCTTGATTTTTATACTTTCTTTATTACTGGAATTTTAGAATTTGTGAATATTAATGATTTTAAAGATTTATAATAATGGTTTTTTTAATAAAATTTACAATTTTTTTTCAATAGGATCAGCTGGAAACCCACTTGGTAACTTAGAGAAGACCTCTGTACTGCAAGAAGTAAGTAAATTAATAAAAATCACTATTTGGTCTTCTGTATTTTAAATTTGACTTTTATTATTTTTTTTCTTGATTTATTTGTCACTGAAACAGTTTGTTTTTGTGAAGTAGTATTGGTACACAGTAAAACTTCCAAGAGGTTCTGCATTTTTTAAGTTTTAACTGTATATCAGTAACTTTGATATTACCATTAGATTTTTTTTCACAAAATATTTTAAGATGGAACCTGTGAGAAGTGAATGGAAAGCTATGTATGTTATTGATAGAAAGTTTTTCAGCAAGTAAAAAGAAAAAAAAAAAAGAAAAGAAACTTGCTCTATTCAGTTATGTTTTGGCAGAAACTTTAGAAAATATTTTTGTTTTCTGTTTATGTCTGCATTTATGCTGTAGTTTACATACGTGTATTTGTGACCTGTGTCCAGTTTGGTTATTAAATAGCAGGAAGATTGTTTTGCTTTTTTGATTCATTGACACACATTAAAAAATAGATTATGAAAAATATTGAATACGTCACTATTGAATATGATTAACAAGGGGACCTTACTGTCTCGGAAATTCAGTTCGGGATGAGACTTTGCAGGTTAGTAGTATACCTCAAGGGTGTTCACCCAGAAGAATTGTAAAGCGCACTAGACAGAAGATTGTGAGAAAAAAGACTCTAAAGTTTTAAGTGCAGCTCGTATACTGATCAATTTTACACTATGGCAGCACACAAAATGGCTGTCTGTAGCGAACTTGCTTGCCACGTGGGCGATCTAGGTTCAATCCTACCTTTGGCAAACTTTTTTTTTTTTTTTTAATTGTTTTAAAAATTGTAACAACTTTTAAACAAAGTTAATGACCTAAAAATATTATCAATTAAATCATAAATAATTTTATTTTACTTATGAAATGACTGTTACAGCTAATTAAAATGTGAATTAAAGATGATAATTTATTTTTAAAAAGTTGAATAATATCAAATGCATTTTTGTCCCATAACTGTCAACTTTCACACCTGGGAGCTGATCATTGGATGAGTCAGCAGCAAAAGTGACACTTTCACATAACTTTCGACATTCCTCTTAAGTTTATCTCTTGAAGATAACAAGGAATTGAAAAATTCTTCAAATTTAAAATGAATATTTTTAACCTCTCCACAGCTTATAATATCTTAAAATTTGTAATAACTTTTAATGACAATAGTAATTAAAGTTTTAATTTACATCCATTAAAAATTCATTTGAAATTATNATAAATTAAACAATAAAACCTTGTTTAATTTATATTAATACGTATCACTTAAGAAAATTTTAATCTAATTTAAATTTTTTATTTCTTCATCATCACTAAAAGCACTATTAACCGAGACTGTTTTCTTTTTGGCAAGTTATCCTTATCCTCTGAGCATTTTTCTGCATTATCTTCAGATCCATGCTCTACCTTTTGCAAAAAGTATGTAATTTTAGATTGCTTGTTTCTAGTTAAAAGATCTTTATAAATTTCCTTACATGGTGCTAAGCACTTATGAAGAATAAAGCAAGTATGGAATAAGGGAAAAACATCTGGCAACACCAAAATCAGAAGCGTGAAGACCTGGCAACATTAAAACAAGTTTTGAGAAGGACCATGTATATCGACAGAAGGCGCGAAAAGAAAATTTACATACTTAAGTACTAATAGTACACGAAAATAATAATTTTCATGAACTATTAGTATATAAGTATGTAAATATTTATTACATTTCATGTTGTATGAGGGTTTTACCCAATTCTCAAACTGTCAGAGTGAATTCGTGCTATAACAGTATCGTGTTATACGGGGATGGTCCCAATTCTCGAACTGTGTTAGAGTGAATCCGTGCTATGGAAGTGCCGTGTTATACGGGGGTTATCTGTATTAATAAATGATCACTAATGAAATATTACATTATCAAATTTCATAATTAAATTCTTATAATGGTTATTAAAATCAAAATTTTTCTAAAATTTCAGTTTAAAAAGTTTTAATTTTTAATATCAAATACAGTAAAACCTGTCTATAACAGAATCTAAATAAAATGTGAATCTGTCTAATTGGAAAAAATTCTCCAGAATATTTATGTTAAATTTTATTAAAAGTCTGAAACCTGTCCATTGTGAAGAGAGGATGTTTTTGGTTATGAAGAAAGTAGCTTAACCTGGTTAGAGTTTTAAATTAAGATTTCACTTGTAGATAAATAAGTAAAATTTCCCTCCAGGTATAGCAATTTCAAATCTTGTCAGAGAAATGAATGTCATATGACAAAGGGAGATATGGACCAATGTCTTTGTTAATATTAGTCTTTATTGGAATTAACTAAGGACAGAATTAAATACTATCAAGAATTAAATGAGTTTCCAAGAATCAAGTTCTCGAGTATAAGCAATAAATGTAATTTATGAAAATAATAAGAATAATGTAGCATTTTTTCTCAGAATCTTCTGGCTAGTGCACTTTACAATTCTTCTGGGTGGACACCCTTGAGGTATACTACTAACCTGCAAAGTCTCATCCCGAACTGAATTTCTGAGACCTTAAGGTCACCTTGTAAGATGAGAAAACTCAAGAGTAATGAACTTAAATTGTTTACATGTTTTGAAATTGGTGTAGTTTTCATACTTTACTCTGACAGAAAATCTGTTTGTCGTGCAATTTCACCTTTCACAATTTTACTGTATATATTAAAGAAAGTATAATTTAAAATTAAAGCTAAACATTTACAGTGATGCCTTGTACTTCAAATTTAATTCATTCTAGGAGGCCATTTGAACTCTGAGTTGTTCAAAGTTCAAATCAGTTTTTCCCATTAGAAATGATGGAAAGTGAATTAATCCATTATTAGACTCTAAACAATATTCATTTCAATAAACTTTAAACAGCAAATACACATAATTTGAGGTAAAAATAATATTAAATACTCTAATAATAAATAAAATACATAAATACTGAAAATTGAATTGCATTGCATATAATAAATTGAAAATTGCATTTACTAAATATGCACTCCATTAACTTCAACATCTTAAATATGGCCATCAGATGATGGCCATATTTAAGATGTGCTCCACACATGTGCTGGTTTCATGCTTTGTGATAAGTTCATTTTTCATTTTAATTATTGATATTACAAACTTCCTCTTAGGCTTTGTTGCTTCTATACACTTCTGGGATGCTATAGCTAATAAGTAAAGGTTTTATTGGGTTGAACAGAATGTTTCTGCAATATTTTTAACAGCTAATGACAGCTGTTTATAATTAAATCACACCTCTACATTAAGTAATGACACTTAATGTAGATATGTGATTTAATTATAACAGTTGTGAAATTTAACACATTATTGCTAATATAATATAATATAACCAAACATCAAAAATAAAGTGAAAAAGCACTGAAAATATACAAGTGTAATGTGACAGTGAGAGCACAACAGATTACATTAATGTTTGGAGCATATTTTTTCAAAAATTAACTACTAATGCTACTTTGAACACTTGTTAAAACTGTTTGTGGTTCAAACTCTTCACAGTTTGAACAAGCATTTGAAATTAGTTATTTGAATTATGAGGTATTACTGTATTATTATTATTTACAGTTATGTTTTCAGTACTAATAGAAAGTAAAGTTTCAATTTAGTAAAAATAAATAGATCTATAAAATTTTAATACAATGAACTGCTTTAAAAATAAAAATTTTTGTTTTTTGATAAGTTTACTCTTGAAAAGTATTTTTGCTATTATTTACATTGATATTCAGTGTAAAACTATTTCTATATGTATTAACAATATCAGAAAAACAAATTTATTACAAGCTTATAAAAGCAGGTGTATTTTTTTTTTGTTTCTGATTAATATTATACTAATGGTTAAACTAATTAGACATTAATTAGATATACACTTCAAATTAAAAATATAATGTTTATGTATAATACACATCACAGTTATTTTCTTCCAGAAGGTTCTAAATTATTTATTAAATTATTAAAATTATAATTATTAATTTAGATAAGAGATGGTGCCTAACACTTACCTTTAGTACCAGATTTGTTTGTAATAATTATTTGTTTATAACCATATTATAACTGAATATTTAAGTGATCGTTGAATTATTAAATATAATGCCTTTTCTGTGAATGATGATGATGATAAAAAAACACCTCAAACTTTATGACAAATACATTAAAACAAACTAAATACACATAAGGAAAGGCATTTTTTTAGGGCGATTTCTTAAGTGCATTCTGGTTCTGTCTGTTCTTAAATATATTCTCCATTAGATTAAACAACATCAAACATAAGAATACAGCACAGTACATATTTCATATACATGGATGACATAAACACTAAACATTCACATAAGCACAATTAAATTTCCTATTAGAAGTTATACATATTAAACAACAAATGAATAGCTGGATTCTTTATTGAGCTACTTAAAGTTAATTAAGTGTAACACAAGATTGTGACTCAATAGTCTACATGTAGTCAAATTTCTTAATCCTCAGATTACCAAGAAAAAAATTGCATCCAGTACCATTGTGGTCAAATTGACTTTATATAATTTTCTTTTGTATTTAGCCATAAAATATGATGCAGTGACATCATATGGGGATTTTATAATCAGTAAAACTTGTTATAAACAAAAACTCAAAAGCAGTCTATTTTCAAGAATATGTTAAACTTATTTTTTTCTTTCTTAATTTGCACAGCCATTACAAATCACTACAGAATTCTCTTTGTAAATAAGATTGTTATATTTCACACATTTCAGGCTTGTTTTCACATTTTTTTTTCTTGTAGCAGAAACTGCACCCCTCTTGTTTCTGTTACAATGTGATGAAATAAGGATGACTCAATATCATGAAATATGAAGGATGATGCAATATGAAATATATGACAAAAAATAAATTTGTCATAAATGGTGATGGAGGCAGTTTCAATGTAATTTCAGTATGGGGTTAATTTAACCCCAGCAGTAGTGATTGGTGCATTTAGCTCCTGATCATGACATACAAACTTTTGACAACAGAAATGATAAAAAGTATTTTTCACTTACATTAACAGCTACCTGAAGTTTAAACCCTTAAAAGTTTCTGACCAGAGTTATTTATTAAATAAAACACAAATGGGATTAATCTGACCCTATGGTACTCTGAGAGTTAATAATTAATTAGTCTTAAATAGCCCAATAAAGAATCTGGCTGTTTGTTTGATATTTAAATTATCAGATTGGCTGCATATACTGTTACATGTACTTACTCCACTGACATTCAAATGAAGTTTGACCTAGAAAAATGCAAAACACTTCACATTGAAGAAGGATGACTTGCATTTGGAAATGATGATGCCATTGAATCCATGCATGAGGGTGAGGACCACAAATATTTAGGATTCCAACAAGTCAAACTCATAGAGCAAGGACAAATCAACAAATGAGGAGACAGCAGAGCTTTAATATCCTAGATTTTGCTGAAATTTTAATACATTTTAGTATACCCCTTTCACTAATGCATGGTAACATAATTTAATGCCAATGAGCAGTAATTTACAAGAAATCATTGTTTAAACTTTTCAGTGTGTTACATATTGAATTCTGTAAACAAATCATAACAAGGAGATATGGATGACCGAGTAAACAACCAATTTAAAAAGCTTGATGTTGCAAGTTCATCCTGCTGTTTTCCAACTTTTATGTATAATTTTTTCTGAAATGTGTAATCCAGTGAATTATTATAAAATATGCTTTGGCCTAAAAATACTATTTTTTTTTTTAATTATTAAAATCATTTCAAATTTTTAAACCAACAAATGTGAACAGCAAATCGATGTGTTTCCTACAGTTGTTGGTTTAAAAATATGTGAATGATTTTAAAACAATGATTTCTTGTAAATTATTGCTCATTGGCACAAGTTATCATGCATTAGAGGAAGAGATATATTGAAATGTATTACAATTTCAGCAAGATCCAGGATGTCAAAGCTTGGATGACCTCTTGTAAGACTAACAAAAGAATATAGCAGCAGATTAAACTGAATACTAACAACACAGTTGAATGCAAAACATATATTTAAAGCAATCAACACATTTCTTCTCTCAGTTTCAACATATCCACTTAGTTATACATTGGAGACTCACAAAACTAGAACATTTCCAAAGGAAAACACAAACAACATTAACAAAACATAACAAAAATCACTCTTAAGTCTTCTGTAGAAAGACTAAGTCTTCCTTGTAAAGAGGAAGGGCTCAGCCTCACAGATATAGTAAAACTTTATTGCAAGTGTTTATCTACAGAAAACAAAACACCATTAAACTTACACAACATTGATCTGGATCTAACACAATACACAAAATGCCCAGATATCAAAGTCCTTGGCTCTGAAGGCATTCCTGAAGTAGGTAGGTACCCTAATGATTTCAGCCAGCATCATGTTGACAGAACTGTTTCAAATTGCCAGCTGATTCATGAGTGCCTTTTTGGAAATATGGAAGGGTTTATGATTGCTATACAAGACTAGGTTGTAAATACAAGAAACTACAGAACTACACATTTTAAAAGATAACATTTACAGGCAATAATTACTCACATTGTTGGGATCGAAATCCACAGTCAGCTAGCATTTTCTTATTTTTGCTGTAATAAATAAATAAAATAAATAGATGTACAAAACTATAAAACACATTACATCAAGGTGCAAGCTTTTTACACAATATAACTAATTACATTGATGTAACCAAATAGCAAATTAATATAATCAAAAGTTATAATCAATTTATAATCAAAAGCTTGCATACAAACTACTTGCATGTTAGGTAGCATATTACAAATACATATCTCATACAGTTATAGAAAACAACTCATAAAATATATATGACTGATCTATTATCACACAAAATAATCCATCACATACATTATAGATCTAGCTATATAAAACACCCACAACATACAAAATATTAAAAAAAATTAGTAAATACTCAGAACACTCGCACAAAATAAAATACCTGTGGAGAATGGATAAAGAATTTGTGTGTGTATTCATAGTCCTCTATTTCACAGGCATTAGGTATGATTCCTGTGCAAGAGAGGACTATGATGCACATTTTTGTAATACCATATACACTATACAAAAGTCTAGAAACATTAGAGATTCACAACAGCACCAACTATATTACACTGCATAAACCTGCCATACTAAATGCATGTCATATAGTTAGGAAATTCTTAAACACAGGCACTGTATATATACAAATATACACAAACAAAGTAACTTTTTTCTGTATTTATGGCTTGGGTTTAGCTAGGGTTTAGCTGTTCTCAGGAATTTTTTTTTTTTTTTTTTTCATTTTCCCATTCCTGAATGTTGAGATAAGTTGGTCAAAAAAGCAGGAAAATTGGCTCCTAGAACCCAGTAATACCCAGAATGGGAAATAAATATACTACTAACAATATGTCTTTTAGAGGTTTTTCTTATTTATTGCTATGTAAACTTTGTGTTACAATATTATACGCCATCAGAAATGCATGTGCGACACCAGAATCAAATAACACATGACCAGCTAATCTATATATATAAAAATGAATGTATGTCTGTCTTTCATGCATTACTACATCATTTATCCGATTGCCATGAAACTTTGGGAAGTTGTGTAATATACTCCCGCAAAGATTTCTGGCATAGTACATTTATCCTACGATAGATGGCACGTGTATATGAGCATTTCATCATGAGCATTTCAGCACGGTTAGGAGTTGAAACTTGAAATTTAGTACACAGTTAGGGTACGTCATGAGAACACACACTAACAAGGGATTTTTTGAACCCACCCTGCAGGGAAAGGGACAGAATTAAGGCTTCAACAATGGAAGTGTTAAGAGAAAGCAACGTGCAAGATTTACAGGCGCAGATGCGGTTTTTTGTATTAAATCAAACATAATTTTAGACCCATCTAAAAATTTTCTAATTAGTCTGGTTAGTCTGGAAACAGGGGACCTAATTCTTGCATTCTGTGAAAACGGGTAAGATTGGCTTTAATGTAATAATCTTAATCTTTGCTATCGTTACTTTTTGCCCAAGCAACGCTGGGCTTATCTGTTAGTTTAAATATAATATAAATCAAGTAATTTGATCATGGAGAACGCAAAACAGTTTGTATTTTCACAGCCCAGGATTTGATTACAAAGTCATTTTCAGGTAAACTAACTAAAGAAATCTATGGCAGCTGTCTTTAATATGACATTATAGTCAAATCCTGGGTTGTGAAAATAAATATTTCTGTGTAAACATGAACTGTTTGTTCTCTACAATGAATCGTTTCCACAAAGTAATGTCTGATACTACCAGCCACATTCAATCAATTTGTTTGTGGCTGATGATTGTGTTGTATAGTAAACCCTTGTTATTTTGTAACTCAAGGGACTAAAAAAAACAACTTTGGCTAATTTGAACCCTTTGAAAATTATGACATTATTTTATATAATTTCATCCATTTGTTTACAGATGAGTAAATGTATAATTATGTATAATTAATTAATATGTATGATTAATATTATGAGTTAATACTTAGTAATTTAACCTGTTTCGAAAAAACTCTCAGTTGGCATTTATTTAATGAAAACAATGAAAATGTACCCAAATTACATTCAAAGCAAGACCTGAAAATAACATGTGAAAGAAGCTTTGCCATTATTACAGATCATCAATGAAAATTAAACATAAAAGATTATTTCGGGAATTCTTGGGAAATACAATTTCCCATTCTCAATTCCCAAAGGTTCCAAAATGTGGAAATTTGGAAACACTAGGTTTAGCATAACACTAGATACTAATACTAACTATATGTAGGATATATTTCACCAACACTATAATAATCAATTAAAACTTTTTGATTTAAAATGTTTAATTAGCAATCATTTTATTAAATTTTAAAGAAATTGTTATCAATGTTGTTTTTATTTGTAGTAGTGTAAATAGTTTATTAAAAATAATTTCTATTTTAAGGCTCGAACATTTAATGAAACACCTTTGAATCCAAGAAAATGTGCTCAAATTTTAACAAAGATTCTGTATCTCCTTAATCAGGTATGATAAAATTTAAAAATTTATTTTTAACTGTAATCAAGTCACTAGTGTGTAAATTATCATATAAATATTATTATAATTTTCAGTTATGAAATATTTGTCTTAATCACACATTTACTGCAATTTAAATAATAATTTCTTTATTAAATTAATAATTATATTTTTGAAATTTTTATTATTTGTATTTTAAAATATTTTTTCAACCGTATTCTTACCAACATTTAAAATCTTGAATTAAGAGTTACTTTACTTTTCGTATTCGGCAAATTAATATAGTATATTGGATTACAAAATCTAGATTTGAATGAGAATTGTATTAAAGCTCTTTGATTTGACTGCATATTTCATTACATATTCGAGTGAAATCCTATACAAATTCAATATGTATTTTTAAAGTTGGAATTTGGTGATGGGACAATTAATCAAAATTGGAAAAAATCTGAAATTTTATTGGAATCGAACAAATCTCTTCACAATTTCTAATTCTTAAAAATGATTTTTTCACATTTAACAAGAAAATTTTTTTAATAGTTTTGATATAATAAATATGATTTATTTTTATAATTTCAATAATATATTATTGAAATAATAGTAAATATACACACACACAACTTAAAATATATATATATATATTAAGTTTTAAGTAAATTACTAAGTAGTAATTAATTTATTATATATAATAAATTTTTATGTTAAAATATAGGGGGAGCAATTAGGCACTACTGAAGCAACAGAAGCATTCTTTGCAATGACAAAACTGTTTCAGTCGAAAGATACCGTTTTGCGACGATTGGTTTATTTAGGAATCAAAGAGTTATCAAAAATAGCAGAAGATGTTATAATTGTAACAAGTAGGTAAGTTGAATAACAGTAAAAGAATAAAATTGCAAGAAGCAAAGAAAAGTTCTCTTATAGATTACAAAATAATTTAGTTGAAAAAATATAAACTAATTGGATTTTTTTTCCCTTTCTTTAGTCTAACCAAAGATATGACAGGAAAGGTATGAAATTTTTAATTATTGATATATAAATTTTGCAAGTGCTTGATAAATATGATTGTCAAATGTAATAAATTGATGATATAAAATATATTTATTAAATTTATATTGATAGCTTAAATTTATTATATATGTTGTGTTTGAGACAATTTTGTTTAGAACTTTGTTTAAATATGTATGAAAATGGCTGCATTTCTAGAAAAATTATTATAAATAGTTAAATTTATTAATGCTAAGAAATAAGCTGACCAAAACCATTTATTAATTTGAACTAAATATTATTTAACATCTTATTTATTTACCAAACACACAATATTTATCAAGTTTCTGTAGATAGAATATATTAGTCACTCCAAGAATATAAATGATATATTTAAAATATTTAACTAGTATTAAAAATATTTATTTTTGTTTGTTTCTTAGAATTAGAATTTTTATAAAGAATTAATAAGTTTATTAAATATTATTCTATTTCCTATATTGAAATTGAAGAGTTATATCCCAAAATGCTTTCAGTCCATCTCAAAATTGAAAATGAGATATGTCATAGGTCAATAGCACTTGGGATAATCTGCATAATGATGTATTCAAACATTTTGAAATGTTACTAGTATCATCTACAGAGGCTTCCAAAGTTTGTAATGCATTTCATAATGAGTTTAGTATACAGGTAACCCCTGTATAACACGGCACTTCTATAGCATGGATTCACTCTAACACGGTTTGAGAACATCCCTGTATAACACGGTGCTTTTATAGCACAGGTTCACTCTAACACGGTTCGGGTAATTGGGTAAAACCCTCGTACAACATGAAATGTAATAAAGGGTGCATTCTTTTTATTACAGCATTCTAATTGTTTTCATGGCTACTTTGAATGCTCTTTCAACAAACCCAAATTACATTCAAAGCAAGACCTGAAAATAACATATGAAAAAAGCTTAAGTGCTTCAATAATTACTGCAAATTTTGTCTTGAGTTTGCAAAAATCATGTGATATGACAAAAAAAAAGCTCTATTAACAGCTAAAGCTATAAGCACACATTCTATTATGAATACACACACATATTTAATGGATTTTAGAATTATTGAAACAACAGATTTTTGCAAAAGTGTCTGAAATAATGAAATAATTAAATGCCAAACAGATTTCTTCTATGTATATATATTAAAAAAAAAATCTCTCTTCGTTGGCAACGCAT